GGGGTGAGGTCCGTTTTCTGCAATTTCTTCAGAGCTGATAATGGGCGTAGTCCTGCCTAGCCAGAGATCAAAAATCTCTCCTGGTCTGACTCCCTGTCCAGATTTGTTTCAGCAGTGGCATTGTGTGCAGGCACTAACTGGAATTCTTGCATGACTGTTATGTGGGCATGAAATTACTGGATTCTGGCTCAATAAAATGAATAAAGTCAGGCATACATTTTGACAATTACAGGTAGTGGCTGATTACCTTTTGTACAAAAGCTACAAGGCCTGAAGTTGTTAGCATAACTTAAATGATAAACTTTAATTTCTGTGGCTTTATTACAAGTACCAGCCTTTGGAGTTTTTAATGTATTTCTGGACTATAATGGTAGCCTGACAGATTGTTTTAGACTGTAATTTGAACTAGGCACTCAAGTAAATTTTATATAAAATTCGAAGGGAAATCTGAAAATGTTTGAAGAGTTGCATCCAGAAAAGACTTTATTATGCCTAGATTGTTGATTTCTTTCGAATATATATATTTTTTTCATAAACTTTTCTTATACCATTTTTGGCATGCTTATACTATTTTATTTTTGTTCTTTACCCCCTTTTAAAAAATTCTCAGATAACTATCTACTTTATTATAGGACAGAAATTTACCAATAAGATCTCTTCTTGATAAAAAAAAAATTTTTTTTTCTTATATTCCTCTTTTTTTCCTTACTAAAACCTTATTTGTACACTAACAATCTTTTTATACTTTTCCTTTGCTTTTTACTTTCCTTTTTATTTATTCACAGATAACCTTTTACAATCATAATTTGAATTCACCTTTTAGTAACTGTTAGGTGAAACATTTAAGTTTTGGAACACCTTTAATTCCCGCTAGAAAGCAGGTTTTAGGAGAAAAGTTCAGTATCAGCACAAGGGCTAAAAACTTAGCTTCAGTATTAATTAAGAAATTAATTTGGATGCCAACCACATTCATATAGACCAAGGGTTTCTCTGAGGTGATGGCAAACAGAGCACTGGGCTGGGCCGTGCCCTCTTCCTTCAATCAGCAGCCATTATCACCAAGCTAGGTGTTCCCCCTCCCCTTCAAGAGAGGCCACACCTTCTCTTTCAGTGGCTTTTTAGTCCAGATGTTGGACAAGGTCCTGGGGGCTTAGGCCATTAAGAACAATTGTGCTTTTAGTGCCCAGATTGACCACATTCATAGCAGCATAAGAATAACCAGAGTTAGCCGGGCTCAGTGGCTCAGCCTGTAATCCCGCACCTTTGGGAGGCTGAGGTGAGTGGATTGCCTGAGCCCGCGGGTTTGAGACCCACCTGGGCAGTGAGACCTCATCTCTACAATAAATCAAAAAATCAGCCAGGTGTGGTAGCACATGCCTGTAATTCTGGCTACTCGGAAGGCTGAGGTGGAAGGATCGCCGGAGCCCAGCAGGTGAGGCTGTGGTGGCTGGGAGCGGCCACTGCACTCCAGTCTGAGCGACAGAATGAGACTCCAACTCAAAAAAAAAAAAGCCATAAACAGCAATGCCAGGAATCGCTAGAACCCTGATGACTTCTTCCAAGCTGAGTGTTCTCAGCCCTTCTTGAAGCCCTCTTTTTTGTTCTATGACTTTCCAGTGATGCCTACAAAATGGCCTGGTACGAACCCTTTTTAGAGTGAACAGACCACAAAATATGTAAAATCATCTGTTTCTACTTATTCCTAATTATGAACAGGCAAAATTGTCAAAAATCCTCATGAATTACTAAACAGTAGCCTTAGTTGTAAGACGTGGACAATTAAGTGAGAGTGATTAGGTCTCACTCTATGCTCCACAGAGTGTGCCTTGTACTTGACCTGTTCCTTACTGAACTTGCAAGGTGACTTAATCAGGTGGGAATGACCAGTTCCCGTGCCTTATTAAGTCTTGCAAAGTATTCAGCATTTAAAGCTTTACCAGTTTTTTAAAGGGTATGCTAGTCAGACATAGCCAAAAAAGCAAGCATTAGTGTTATCTAGCATTACAATTTAAAGTAGGGACTTAGCATACATTATATGACTTTAAGAGATTTCCCAACAGTTTTACAGGAGCAAGTAGTTGATTAGGATCTTAGGCAAGGCCTAAACCTTTAGAAACAGACTTACTTTCAACTAACCTGGCTTCTAGCATTTGAAAACAAGAACAATCTATTCAGTCCCTTAGTTGCCAGAGAAAGATTACAAAATTTTCTACAAGGCTGGCATTAACTTGCACTGAGTTAGCAAAGGCTAAATAGCATATAAGAGACATTTCTATGTTTCTTTGCAGGTGCATTAGAATGAACTTCCTTCAGAATTTATGAAGGAGAACATAGGCTAAGGAAGGGAGTGGGTGTGGTCCCGGGAAAGAATTCAAGATAACCAGTAGCACTTCACATGCGTAGCAGGCAATTTTCCCACAATCTTAACAACAAAAGGCAGGAATTTTAACAGTGCCAACGGGTTGGGAGAAACACCATACAAATACAGGGAGGGAAACATAAAATGACATAAAGAAACAGCTGCCAATCAAGTTTTTAAAAGACGACATGTCTCATCAAACAAAGCACAATAACTCAACCACCTCCTTAGCAGATTCAAAACAACAGACACACACAAACAAGAGAATGAGGGATATGGGAAACATCTGTTTCGTTCCTCTCCAGCCATACTCCTTGTGAAGATATCTCAGATACCTCTTAGCAATTGGCAGGTTGGTACACCCCCAACGCAGACTTACTTTATGTGGAGCCCTCCCACCATCCGTTTCATTCACACACAATCACACAGCACATTCTTCAACCCTCTGCCCTAATCCTAGGAGTCCATGGGTTCATCTTCAGACAGTGTTGCCTTCCACTGCCTTTCAGCCCTTTCCTTCAGGCTGAAGATTACTAGCAGACTCCAGGAGGTGATCAAGCTCCCCTTCTGCCATCCGTTGGCAGGTCTATGCAAAGGCCCTTATTTCTACCCTTTCTGTCGGGCGGTCTTTCTGTCCTTTCCGTCAGGTGGTCATCCTTATGCCAGTTCCTCGTCTCTTGGGTCCATGTTGTGCTTTCGTGGTCTGAGCTTCAGTGCACCAGGAGGGGCCTCCCTCCTACGTATCAAAAGGTCCATTGCACACCAGGCGAGATTGCCCTTCCTGTCATCCTGGAGGTTGCACCCCAATGACAAAAGAAGTGGAACACAACGTCTCCAAACTCTCCTTTCCTGGCCAGTGCACCAGAATAATGAAGCAGGAAGACAGAGAGGTCATGACACCGAGACTATTATAGAAGTGGTAATTTTATTTATGCCAGCAGACTCGGCGGTCTAATGCTCCCAGGCCAAACCCCCAGAAAGGGAGAAGAGGGGTCTTATACCTTTGTTTAGGTAAAGGAAGGGAGTCCTGTTGAGCGATTACACATTTTCTGTGGAATTGACAAGGTTGTACTCAACAAAATCAGATTTTCAAAGAACAAATAGTTTCCAGGAAACGCAGGACAAGTAGGGGCTGTAAACTGTCCACTTCAAAAGGGGGGGATTTGGATGAGTCTGTGAATTGGTCACTCTTTTGCATTTCCAAGAAAACCATTCTCTGCTATTTGGCTTTCCCAAGCAAAAACTTGTCTGGCAGGTTTTCTGAGCTTGCTGATTGATCTCTGAAAGGGAATACTTTTAACTGCTATCAGTTCCCTCTCTGCCACAATGGCAAGTCTATCACCACATATGGCAAGAGGGGTGTCTGGTTGAGGCATGAGAGATGAAGGGAGGAAAGACTAAAGGAAATGCTGACAAAAAGATGCCAAACTCTGAAAAATATTTTAAGATGGTTTATTCGGGCCAACCTGGGGACCTAGACATATGACATATATCTCCAGAAGGTCCTGAGAATGTATGCCCACTGTTGTTGAATGGTATCTTGGTTATATAAAATTTAGGAGAATAGAATTTACAAGAAACCATAAATCAACACATGTGAGATTACGCTGGTTCTTTCCAGGGAGGTGAGATGGTTCCAGGAGAGGCCCTCAGGCTATAGCTGATTTCAGATTTTCTGACTGATGACCAGTCAGCATAGTTATCTAAGAAATTGTGAAAGCAGTAAGAGAAATAGGCAACTTGAGAAAGACAAGGGAGCAGAGTGTCTTGATATGTAGATGAAGTTTCATTGTTGGTGATGGTGATGGTAGACTTTAAAGAGATCAGGTGATTGTTTTTAAAATATGCAAGAGACCCCAAAAGATAGTTGAACGGACAGACAGAGAGTGGGGAAATACTTTTTAAATCTTGTTCCTAGCCAGGCTCGGTGGCTCAGCCTGTAATCCCGCGCCTTTGGGAGGCTGAGGTGAGTGGATTGCCTGAGCCCACGGGTTCGAGACCTGCCTGGGCAGCGAGACCTCATCTCTACAATAAATCAAAAAATTAGTCGGGCGTGGTAGCGCGCGCCTGTAATTCCGGCTACTCGAAAGGCTGAGGCGGAAGGATCACGGAGCCCAGCAGGTCGAGGTTGTGGTGGCCGGGAGCGGCCACTGCACTCCAGTCTGGGCGACCAAGTGAGACTCCAACTCAAAAAAAAAAAAAAAATCTTGTTCCTAAACCTTAATACAATAATGAGAAAGTAAAAGCTATGTTCTGGAATAATGCATAATTTAGGTAAAGACTACCTTTGCCAACTTTGTCTTTTCAGAAACACAGACTTCCCAACACGACAAGTATCAACCCATTGCATACTCAATGTGTAGTGACCAGGACCACCTCCCCTCAGAGTTTTCTGCCCAGACTTCCTGGTGCCCTAAAGCCAGGCAGATTGGCAATCACGCTTGCCTAGAGTAAAGGGAATTTATAAGACCTATGACTTCATGTATTACAAAAGCTATGCAGATCGCAGGACTTGAGACAGCTCAGAAGGAGAAGTAAATGGGTATTCAATCTTCCTGTAGGTTGGGTGCCATCTGCAGGAAAATCAAGAATCCCCCAAAGCTACCTGCTGGGAATGCATAGGAGATAAAGGGAAATGCATCCTCCATTAGCTCTAAGGAATGTTATTCAGGAATTTATAGGAGCACTGGAAACCTTATCAAGCCCTTCTCTAGAGGCTGTGAGAATATGGGCAAACATTAGCGGGTCTCTGTGTCACAGGATCTCCAAGACATTTCCAGATGGTCAATGAGGAAGTCACAGCAGTCACACCTACCTGAGTGCAACAGCCCAAGGGGAAGGATTAAAGTAAAGCTGGGGCTTGAGGGGCTACGGGGCCACACTCACCTAGAGTGCAGGCCTGCTCCCTGTCTGTGGGGAGTGAAGCTTTCTTAAATAAATCTTTTTTGTTCTTACCTCTTTGTGTGTTGCAATTCTTTGCATTCCTCGGATCTCTGGGTTGCCAGTGTGCACCTCTGGCTTGTCAGTTCCGGCAGCGCTGCACCTCTCTCTCCATCCTTCCATCCCAACCTCACCCTATCTGCACCCTAACAATAGTTTTATAGGGTCATAAGATACTTTGGCTTTTCCTTCTTTATCTTCCAGAGTCAGATTGGAGAGTAAATCCTATCAAATTGAAAGTTAAGAATTTGGCAATGAAAAGGGAAAAAAAAGTCAGCTTAGTCTTCCACAGGGAAAGGGCAAGAAAGGAAAAAAGAGAGCGAGAGATCTTGCACATTATAGATGCAGATACTAGCTTATGTTATGTATCAGTGTCAATGTGATCGAGTGATCTGTTCAACCATTTCTATAATTTTCATTCAGATTTTGTTTCAATGACCCATTTGGTTGGGGATGGTAGAAGACAGAAAATAATCATGACTCCAAAATATATTCCTTATTGAAGTTCTTCTTGCTGGGATAGGAAAAGTGGTTTGCAAAAAATAGTCCTTCTTCAGCCCAGACTTGAAAGTCTAAGTGTACTCTGCTGTGTGAAATTTTTGCTCAATTATTCACAAAAGACAGAATGAGTCATCATTTAGGGAAAAAAAGGTTCTTCTTTTTGAGCCCTGTGTGGTTATTTGTGTTTAAGCCTGAGAAGTTATTGAAATTGTTTAAACTTTAAGTCAAGAAACTAATTCTTAAGAGTTAGATTCCTGGTTGCAAGAAAGATAATTTTTACTTGAGTATTTCTGTATTAATACCTTGCAAGACAGAAAACCTCATTGTAGCCTAATTTGCAAACTCCTAGGCCTGTATAGTTGCTGTGGATATTGATGATTTTGAACATTGAAGAGGTACATGGGAATTATGTAATATAAAAGACAGTACTTAAGCTTACAGTTGACCATAGCAGCAACTTCCAAATGTTTCAAGTAATTTGTGAACACTATCATACAGGACTCTACAAAGTCACTTCAGGGATTTCTGAGTCCCCTGATAGTGTTCAAGTCCTCTCTAACAGAACAGATTAACCACCACAGGAGACCACTGGTGATCTGCTGTCTGCACCAAGTATCATTGCTTTTACTGGGCATTGGCATTGACATAGGCTCTATTTTAGTGGTTCTTCAGTAGTATTCAGTTTAATCCTGAATTTAGATTGATAGGGGTTAAAATGTAGAAAATGTAGAATCTGTCTTTGTAGATTTTTTTTTTTTTTTTTTTTTTTTGAGTTGAGTCTCACTCAGTCACCCAGGCTGCAGTGCAGTGGCACACTCACAGCCACTGCAACCTTGACCTGCTGGGCTTAGGGAATCCTTCCACCTCAGCCTTCCAAGTAGCTGGAACTACAGGTGTGCATCACCATGCCCAGCTAATGTTTTGATTCATTGTAGAGACAAGGTCTTGCAAAGTTGCCCAGGCTGGTCTTGAACCCTTGGGCTTAGGCAATCGTCCCACTTCCACCTCCTAAAGTGCTAGGATTACAAGCATGAACCCACCTCATGTAGCAAGACACTATGTTTTAAATGAGCTACCCAGTGCTGAATTCTAGACCTGGGACTTCCTTATTTATTTTTTTCTTTTTCTTTTTTTGAGTTGGAATCTCATTCCGTCACCCAGGCTGGAGTGTAGTGGCATGCTCATGGCCACTGCAGCTTCAATCTGCTGGGCTTAGGTGATCCTTCGGCTTCAGCCTTCCAAGTATCTGGAACTACAAGCACACACCACCAGGTGGGGCAAATTTTTTGATTTACTATGGAGATGAAGTCTTGCCAAGTTTCCCGGGCTGATCTCAAACCCCTGGGCTCAGGCAATGCTCTCACCTCCACCTCCCAAAGAGCTAGGATTACAGGTATGAGCCACCATGCCCAGCCGACTTCTTCATTTTATAAATGAGAACCTAATCATTTCTCCATCTGCCAGCTTTTGGAATCAAGTTACCTTTCTTGCACTACATCTCATGCTTGTTCATTTTGACCTTCAAATGACAAGTAGTGTAACTTGAGATCTACAGCAATATCTGTCCTTTTGGGCCATGGCTCATCTCTGTTTCATGCCAAAAGGGCAATCTTAGAATTCAGTCACAGGAATAGTAAATTGTGGTCTTATATCTTGGTTTTTTTTTGTGTTTTTTTTAAAAGCCTAGTTGATGTTGCCCAGGTTAAAACTGTGGGTCTTTTTTGTTGTTGTTATTATTAATCTCTCATTTTTATAAAGTTACACTATTTTAAAGCCCTAGTAAATGTTTCTCTTTTTACTGAATTAATCCTTGTGTCACTTAGGGTTCTCCAGAGAAAAATCAGAACTAATACATATAAGAGAGAGAGAGAGAGATTTGTTTTTAAGAATTGGTTAATGTATGAAGAACAAAATCATGAACCTTGCAGCAACTTGGATGGACTTAGAGTCTATAATACTGAGTGATCTTTCACAGAAACAAAGAACTGAGTATCACATGTTCTTACTCATAAGCGGACATGGAATAATACCATAAGAAAAGAATTGACAGTAGCGGGGAACTGCAGGGGTGGGGGGGCAGGGAGGTGGGATTGGCAGTAATGGGAATCTGCCTGGGGAAGGGAGGCACACCTCATCAACAAGGGTACCTGCATAATGAATGTTTGCATACATAACCCTGAATTGTACCCCATATCTTTAAAATAAAAAAATTTTAAGTTAAAAGAAAAAAAAAGAATTGACTAGTGTGATGGCAAATTTAAAATCTTTAGAGCAGACTAAAAATTCAGGTAGGATTGATATGTTTTACAGTTTTGAGGTAGAATTCCTTCTTCTCCAGGAAACCTCAGTCTTTGCTCCTATGGCCTTCAACTGATTGAACGAGGCCCACCCACATTATCAAGAGTAATTTCCATAAATTAAGGTCAATTGATTGAAGATATTAATCATATCTGCAAAACACCTCTACAGCAACATCCAGACTGCTATTTGCCCAAAAGGATGGACACCACACCCTAGCCAAGTTGACACATAAATCTAATCATCAGAATGCCTTTCTGGGGTCCCTTTCCTCAGCAGTTGCTTAACAAACCGCTTTCTTAAATACGTGTTTATTTACTTCATTCAGATTTCATCTCTACGGTTCTGTCAAGCAATATCATAAAATTAGCAGTCTCGTACACATTTTCATCAACTCCCTTCAAAAAACGTGTGGTCTTTCACGGAAAGAAGGAGTGCTGGAACATATTAATGAAGAAGTCATTTTTTTCCATGAGAGGAATACAGAAAGAGGACAGATTTAAATTAGAAGATGAAGTGCTATAGTCAGAATTTCCATTGCTAATAGATTGTGTTTTAAAGACTAGGTGTGATTAGTTTTAAAAACTTGATTTTTAAAACTTACCTCAGTAGCTTTAGGGGGCACAAATAGTTTTTGGTTACAAGGAAGAATCATTGTACAGTGGCAAAGAAGTCTGGGTTTTAAATGTACTCACCACTCCCACCTGTTCCCATTGTAACTGATAGGTGTTATTTTATGCCTCCACCCATCCCTTCCTTCCCCTTTTTGGGTTTCCAATGCCCCTGATATCATTCTATACGCTTTTTCAGCTCCCTAGTTTAAATCCCACTTGTGAGAACATGCTGTGTTTGGTTTCTGTTCCTGCATTAACTCACTTAGGATAATGTTCTCCAATACCATCCAGGTTGTTGCAAAAGACAGTATTTCATTCTTTTTTTATGACTGAATAGTATTCCATGGTATGTATACATATACCACCTTTTCATTATCCACTGACCAGCCGAGGGACATTTATGTTGATTCCACATCTTTGGAATTTTGAATTGTGCCGCAGTAAACATATGAGTGCAGGTGTGTTTTTGTTTTTGTTTTTGTTTTAAAAATAATTTCCTCTGTTCCTTTGGGTTGATACCTAGTGGTCGGATTGATGTATTGAATGGTAGGTCTACTTTTTAGTTTGTTGAGAAATCATCATACCAATTTCCATGGTGGGTGTGCTGTGTATAACCATTGTATAAACCTGCCAGCAGTATATAAGCATTCCCTTTTCACCTTATCTGTGCCAACATCTATTGTTTTTTGATTTTTTACTAAAGTTCATGATGATTGGTATAAGGTGGTATCTCATTGTGGTTTTAACTTGTATTTCCCTGATGATTATTGATGTTGAGAATTTTCTTCTATATTTGTTGGCCATATGTATATTTTCTTTTGAGAGATGTCTGCTCATGTCCTTTGTCCACTTTTAATTTTAGTTTTTTAATGTTTATTTATTTGAGTTAGAGTCTCACTCTGTCACCCAGGCTGGAGTGCAGTCTCATACACATTTTCATCATGCTTACAGTCACTGCAGCCTCAACCTGCTGGACTCAGGCAATCCTTCCATATTGGCCTTACAAGTAGCTGGAAGCACAGGCATGTGCCTCCATGCCCAGCTATTTCCAACCCCCCCGTTTTGTTATAGATAATCCGTCTCACCAAGTTGCCCAGGCTGTTCTTGAATCCTGGGCTCATGCAATCCTCTCTCTTCTGCTTCCCTAAGTGCTGGGATTACAGGCATGTGCCACCACACCTGGCAGTCATTTGCCCACTTTTTAATGGGTCATTTGCTTTTTTCTTGCTGGTTTGCTTGAATTCTTTATAAATTCTGGATATTATTTTTTTTGTATAGTTTGCAAAATATCTTCTCCCATTCTGTAGGTTGCATATTTACTCTGCTGATATTTTCTTTTCCTGTGCAGAAGCTTTTAAATTAAATCCCACTTATTTTTGTTTTTGATGTGATTAATTTTGAGGTCTTAGCCATAAATTCTTTGCCTAAGCCAATGTCCAGAAGAATTTTTCCCAGCTTTTCCTCTAGGATTTTTATGTGATATTTAAGACTTTAAGCCATCCTGAGTTAATTTTTGTATATGGGGAGACATAGTGATCAAGTTTAATTTTTCTGCATGTAGCTATTCAATTTTCCTAGCACTATTTGTAGAACAGGTTGTCCTTTCTCCACTGTATGTTTTTGTCTGCTTTGTCAAAGATCAGTTGGTTGTAGGTATTTGGGGTTATTTCTGGATTCTCTATTCTGTTCCATGTCTGCTCTTGTAACAGT